AAGAGCAAGGAGCAAGAAATTTAGTGACATAAAACATTTGACGATTTGTGGAAAAATAAGAAAAATAATGATGCGGGCTGGTTACTTCTAGCATCTCTGGATTAAGTGATGAAGATAAACAATGACAAGCTCCATATTCGAATCAACAGTTTAAATGTTTCAAAGTGTGCCCTGGAAGAGAATCTTCTCTCCAGCAGCCAAAGAGCTAAAGCTGCAGAAAATCAAGCTGGAGCCCTTATTATATGTTTGGCTGACCTACGGACGTAAATTGAATTCCCAGCCTCGAAGGGTGTCAGCAGTAAAGGTGGGGGCATTGGTAGGAAAAGATTGGAATCCTGACACGTGGGATGGAGATGTGTAGGAGAACCCTGAGGAGGCTGAGCTTTTAGAATCCTCAGATGCTGAGGAATTTGATTCACCTGAACTAATTGCCCCACCTCAGCAGACCCACCCTCCCCAACCTTGCCTGAGGCAACTAATCCCATTGTGGAAGCTAATCCCATAGAGCAAGAAGCTGATGTCCCTCAGGGCTGTTATTGTTGCTGGTAGACCTATAACCAGACTCAAAGCTAAGCAGGCCCCTAGAGGAGAGATAGAAAGTGTGGTCCATGAGGAGGTATGCTACACCACTAAAGAACTTAGTGAATTTGCTAATTCACTCAAGTAGAAGTCTAATGAATATGTCTGGGAATGGATTTTAAGGGTATGGGATAATGGTGGAAGGAACATAAAATTGGATCAAGCTGAGTTTATTGACATGGGCTCCCTGACTGGAGATTCTAGGTTTAATATGGAAGCTCGTGCACTTAAGGTGTTAAAAGTTTACTTGACTGGTTGGCTGAGGTATTTATCAAAAGATGGTGTACTGACAGAGAGCTGGAGATACCTGATATCCCTTGGCTTAGTGTTGATGAAGGGATTGTAAGGCTCAGGCAAATTAGTATGCTGGAGTGGATTTGCAGTGCAACACCAAATCTTCCACAATGGGAGGGCCCAGAAGACATGTCTTTTACTGATTTTATAAGATGGCAAGTACTGAGAGAGACACCAGAATGTTTGAAGAGCTTTGTATTTGCTCTTTTCCTAATGCCGAATCTTACAGTTGGAGATGCTGCTGCTCAACTGCATAAATTAAATGTAAATATAATAGGTGTAACAGGACCTCAGAGTAGGGGTTAGGTGGCAGTATTGAATTACCAAATACAAGGTGAGCATAATTATCATAAT